ATGACGTAGGTAGTGACGTAGCCGATGATGTGGGTGGTGATGACGACGGTAACACACGAGATGACGTGTGTAGTTCCGTAGGCGATGACACGTGGCAGGATTAAACATCGAAAAGGATGCATATGTCTTTGTATATATATATATATATATATATGTATATATTCATGATATAAACTAATGAAAGAGACATGTGGAAATATTACATATGCAGATATTAGATTGAGAGATCTATACGCAATGATAGAAAGACATTTGTGACATTGTAGTGTGATAGACTCAACTATCATAGTAAAACGATGTCACAACTGTTAGTCATGGCGTGCTACTTAAAGCAGAGATTTAAAAAGACATTAACTCGGCCGCATATTTACGGATGATTAGTTGATTACATCATATGTCACTGCGTAAAGATAACTAACTGGTTCACCATTGTTTCTTAAGTTGTCATTCATGTGTATTTACCTGAAAGTCTTTATTCAGACATTGTTATGAAAACTGCGCGAGGAAAAACAAAATGAAGTAAATAAAAACAGTGAAGACTTCAATAACTAACCTTTCCAGACATCTCAACGACCATATTCTCCCTGGCTCTCAAATATGCATCTTTAGCCCGCAATCTGGACTCTGGGTAGGCCTCGTCCAAGTAATTATTGCACGCAAGAGATTCGTAAATGACTACTCCGTCCTGCTCTAGTATTGGTACTCTCGCTAGAGGGGCGACGTCCTTCAACCATTCCGGCTTAAAGTACGTATTAACATTCACGACTTCGTACCTGCAAACAGAGTAAATTTATACTATAGGATCTGTGCCTGCTAGGTGTTGCGTAGTCTGTATTGAAAGTTGGGGCGTGTGACAAATACACGGAAATGTATGTTGCAATAAAAAACGGAGATATTGTCAAGAAAGGCTCCGTTACATACTGATGTTATAAACTGTGGATACTGGTCACCCGTGCACGGACTTACGGAATTTTCTTTGCTGCCAGCACTAGACGGGTTCTTTGCGCGAATGGACTAAACGGCATGCTGTATAAACGCAGAACACCTTTTCCGGGAGGTGGCGGTCTAGGGTCACCTGCGGGCGTAACACAAACCGTTATATATATATATATATGGGATTTTATCTCATTCGTTTACTATTAATATGCTTGGCCAGCCCGATTCAATATCTTCTATCATCTATCGAATCGAATACAATTAAGTCATACTAGAATGAAACATCGTATCAAGAGCATATTATACTAATATTACTAGAGATACTACTAAGAGCTAGTAGGCCTAATACATAATTAGCTTTTGATAATACACTGACGTACTAGTCTAATCGGGGGTACATCGGGGTATCTTATTCCTTTAATGGTGGTATAATGTATCTATGATCGCATGTCTATACGGTTCACTCTTACTTACCCGCTACTAAGGCCTTCGCAGACATTTCTACCGATGCTGATGATGGAGTAAGCGGATAAATCAGTCGGTGGTCGCGTCGAATTATATCTAACCGATGAGATACACTGTAAAGATATGCCGGCTGTCTACTCACTCAGTTGTTCGCGCGTTATTATATAGCAGTCAGCCCTCACAAAAAACAGCGACGAATTTCTCGGCCGGCTTAGGCTCGTCAGAAACTGTGCAGTTGCCACTTCACTTTTACTATGTGTTCTTAACCGCACCGGCAATTCATAAAATAACAGCTATATTAAAACAAGTGTTTGTATACATTGAAGAAAAAATCTTCTGCGCAGTCTTTTGATAGTATCTATTATAGTGTCCGCCACGCGTTACTTAGGCTGCACAGAGGCAGGTGGCAAGTATAGCTGATGCCTATATACCGTTGGATATACCGATACAGATGACGACGCCTGTCGGGCCATATACTACACGCTGCTTTTGCGACTCGTTTCTTTCCTCCGCTCTACTCCTTAAATATCAGAATGTTGACCTACATCCCGCCTCAAGTATCGTATGCTTTCTTGCGTCCGCTTCTCAGAGGTGCGGCGCTTGCAGCATCCGTCGTGCGTGTGGTAAGGACGCAGCGTTCGTGGCAAGAGATCGCTCGCTTTCATGTTCGATTGTATTACGCTCGACGGATCGCGTGGCTTTGCCTGCCGGCGGATCTCCGGCGTCAGATAATGACGTAGGTAGTGACGTAGCCGATGATGTGGGTGGTGATGACGACGGTAACACACGAGATGACGTGTGTAGTTCCGTAGGCGATGACACGTGGTAGGATTAAACATCGAAAAGGATGCATATGTCTTTGTATATATATATATATATCTATTTCCATGTGGTGGAAGAGAAGAATGCGGAATGGTTTCGCGTTTAGAATTAACGCGTTCTGGTTGACCATCTCGAAGGAAGAGAGAAAGAACATTGAAACATTGAAGGAAACAAGATGGTAGAGACTTTCTGCAGATGCATATAAATCGGCATCTTCATGTCAATGATTCCAGAATTATGATTACATTCGCAATGAGTTACACTAGAGTAGGCCTACCGTTGACTATCGACTTGTCTTTATCAGCATAATTGTGATAATGCAGCGCCGAACACATAGTAGCGATAATTTTAACTATTTATTCAAACCTTTTTAACAACGCGCTTCTTGGAAATGGTCTCTCTCTCGTAATTTAACTATAGTAAGCACGATAAAGATTCCATGGCGCCTTTTCTCTATAAACACTGTTATCGAGACGCCTACACAGACATGTGGGCCGTTCCGGGCCGAGCCGGAAGATTTCTGTTTATCTTGGATAAACAAGGTGTAAATCGGATACCTGATGTTGTCAGCTATAACCCTCACTCTTCTTTGAATTCTCTGTGAGAGGATGCTATTCGCATACACCGAGTGACGACAGCAAAACAATCAGCATACGCCGGAAATCATTCCTTATTTCGTCCACATAAAATACACAACCAGTTTGACCAACTTTGGTAGTCATATCTTGTCACTATGATTTTATTCGAGTAACGCTAAGGAATGAGACCGTTGTTTACCAGAGTGTATATACCCAGCTATCACAAAGCGTTCCTACAATCATGATATACACCTTAATTAGCAGGAGCGTGTTATCTAAAACATTTATAAGTAGTTATGACATCATAATACGTAAATGTCATAATATTTAAGGAAATGACATATAATGTTTAAGGAAAAGTACCATGCCAAAGGTTATGACATTTCAGACTCATGATAGTTATAGTTATTCATGATGTTTTTTATATAACGGGCATGCAGAAGCGGCTTATTAGAAGCACGAAATCATAAGCGCAAATATTATGTATTTCGGTATTGTCTATATTTTTATAGTTTATTTAATTAATTATTTATCAATGAATCAGTTTATTTACATATTTTATATATTTGGATATTTCCGTACTTATGCATTTCCGTGGCAATATAGATGTATATGCTGTAACATTGTTGCAGCTCATCAACAAGAGAACATTAGCGATAGCATGTGATAGAGAACCGTAGGCCCGCAGTGACCGTGTGACCGTCAATCACGGAAATCTCTACTGACTTAACCTCACGTCGTGGATATAGCACCTACTCACCACTGCAAAATTGGATTATGGCTTGAAACAACCGGATGTATCGCACGACGAAAATGTCACCGGAAGCCTTATAAGGCCTACTATAGTAGCCCTAGGTTCATTTAGCTGTTTACTTGCAATGTATCTATGGCGCATGTGTTATATATATAGGCTATAGGTGTTTATCGATGCTCTCAAATGTCTGTGTCTGAATTTGAACTGAAGTTGTGCAGTCTTACATTAGCAAATTTATCTGTCGCGTTTCACGTTTGACAGCGAGTTATTTTTTTATAGACTGATTCTGTGAGTCGTCGCAAATCAATGCCCATATGTACTGGAGCCACATGGACTTTTGGAGTCAGTCTATTCCTTTCACTTACTCCTCAGTCATTAACTCAACTCGCGTTTGCCGGCTCATTTCCTGTGGTTCTGATTCAGTTATATTCGTGGCATGAATCAATAGGCACTTCCACTGTTTATCCTGCGCTCCACTACGCATTTATCTCGAGCGAGATACAATGATTTAATCCGGTTGTATTGGGTAACATCATCGTTCCATTCTGCCTGTCTTGCGTCGAATGTTTACACAATGATTATTAATTTCGCACACCGCTCCTGTTTCAATACAAAGAATCAGCGTTCTAAATTAAGGCCCAACACAAATTTAACTCGGTTTTCAGGCACGAAGTCGTGACTGTTAGCATAATTATACTTTAAGTCGGAAGGGTTGAAGTAGGCCTACGTGGCCCCGCTAGCGAGGATGCAATAGTAGAGCAGGACGGAGTAGTCGTTTACTAATGTCTTGTGGGCAATAATAAGAATACTCAATAATAACTCTCCCAGCCTTTCTTCTCAGGTACAATTTGTGTTTTTACATTAAGATCTCGCAACTCTTGTTCTCGGACAGGAATTTCATAATAACGACTTCTTTTTGATGAACTCTCACCACAGCTCTTCTTGTATAGTTCATTCTACCAACAAAGGAAAAGTACAAAGTTACTTCTCTCAGATAATTGATTACACACACAGTACTAGACAACGTATGGTTAGAGCTAGTGTTAGGCTTAGGATACGGATTTAGTCATAGGGTTAGCGTTAGGGTCAGGGCCAGTGTTAGGGTTAGAGTTAGGGTTCAATGTTCAATGTTCACAAATTCTTAAATCTATTATAATGATTGGGGGAATTAAATATGATAAATCACGCCTTCATATGTAATCCGATAAATTCTACACAGCATCTTATCATTCATTCTCTTATGAAATTCCAAGGAATAAAGTCGGTATATTAGACTACAACATCTGGCCAGTGATCGAGCGACTTCCGGCATTGGAACGCCTTCAGCCGCTCGCCAAACACAAGCACTTGAAGCGTTTCAATAAAATATAATACTAAATAAGATCGATCGATCGATAGATAGATAGATAGATAGATAGATAGATAGGTAGATAGATAGATAGATAGATAGATAGATAGATAGATAGATAGATAGATAGGATAGATAGATAGTAGTAGATAGATAGATAGTATAGATATAGATAGATAGATAGACTAGATAGATTAAATAGACAAATAGATTAGATCGCATAGATCGATAATATGATGGATAGTATGGATAGGTTCATGGTATAGATGGCATAGATGCGATAGATGGATCGATCGGATCGATGGATCGATGGATCGATTGGTATGGATGCAATGGATGCATGATGCATGGATGGATGGATGGTTATGGCGTAGTGGATGGATGAGATGGATGAATGACATGGATGATGGATAAGCTAACACGGTATGGGATGGTGGATGGTGGATGATGGATGATGGATGGATGGATGGATGCATGGATGGATGATGGAATGGATGGATGATGGTATGGATGGATGGCATGGATGAGGATGATGGATGGATGGGATGGATGGATGGATGATGATAGATAGATAGATAGATAGATAGATGGATAGATAGATAGATGTTTTCTGTAATCGTATTCTAGATAAGTGAACTAACTCTCAGCTACAAATCCCAATCAATGAAAACCAAAAGAGATTTAAACCATAGAAAGTACATTACTCCCACTATTTCCACGACTGAATTGACCCAAAATGCTAAAATATATAAATGAATTATTTTTGTGGAAGAAGACTAAAAATAAATAAATAAATAAAGAAAGATGGAATGAAATCAAAACATGCATGCATTCAAATAAACAAACAAACAACAACAAGGAACATGTATATGTATATGTATACATATATATATATATGATCAAGAGCTAATTTACCTATTTTAAAATCTAAAATCTAAATTTCTAAAATCACCTATTTTATTATTACTATTTAGGTATTATTAGCTCTTGATATCGATTGGCTCGTGTGATGTCGTGTGTGTGTGTGTGTGTGTTGTGTGTGTGTGTGTTAGTTGCGTGGTGTGTGTGCGTGTGTGTATGTGTGTGGCGCGTTGTGTGTATGCTGTGCGAATCGTCGGCAAGCAATGCATACATTGCCATGAATTCAATCAGTGTAATCGAGACGGATTCGGTTAACCGAAGTAGTAAGGCAATGCTGATATGCGACATCATATCAATTCTAGCAATAATAAATAAGCCGTAAACTGATACAAACTAATCCCAATGGACAAATATTCGTCTACGCGTTGAGATCAACAACGAAAGGCGATGATGAATTTACATAGAAAATTGATTGGCGTTTGGCAAAATTTGCAATCCAGCATTGGCCATGTTAACGTTGTTTATGCGTTTAATGCCAAAGTTTCGTCAGCGACTGTAATATAATATTGTTCAACGTTGATAGCTGTCAACGTTTTTTCCGACGCTAAATCGTCAAAGTTGCTTCATGTTGCTGCGTTTTCAGCGTTGTTTACTGTTTGCAATGCAATTATTTATTAATGAGATCTTCAGCATTCATCTCGAATGTTGGATATCTCGAAGTAGGTTTTTTTGTATTAGCTTATTACGTCGTACTGACTGCAATATATTGCGCAATATAGATATAGCACGTGCTATGATTTTATTAATGTATTTTTTTCGCCTATGACAGTATAGAAGCAAAAATGAAACAATTCAAAACTCTCAACTTGGCAAATTTCAACACAACATAACTCAACGCCCCCGTCACGGACAATATATAAACACACAACAAATTTAGAAAATATGCCAAACATTATGAACCGTATGAATGCGATATACTATTATATATATAT